AATAAAAATAGGTAAACAGATTGAGAAGTTTATTTATCAGAAATGCTACTGAATTGGAGAAAAACCAAATTCGCTCCTTCCATGTCCATACAAAAGGCCTTTACTTTTACAAAGCAGAACTTTGGAAAACTTGAAGTAGGTTTGCTGGGGTTTTTTTTGGCTTTGTCTTACCCATCATTTACTGCATATTCACAGAATATTTTTAGGATCACCTTGACAGCAAAAGAATTTTATCAAGACTTTCAAACTTAGAAGTGAAATAATAAGGCAGTATTTGCATTTGTGAGCACTACCACACTTGTGTTTACACCTTCCTTCTTTGACCTGACTACAGAGGTTATCTGCAAATTTTCTGGGACAGGAAGTATCCAAATAAATCACCTCAGCAAAGACAGTCATTTCTGGGCCACACAAAGCACACGTATTTCCAGCATGACACTCATGGACTCCTTCACAGGACTACAGGAGCTTCTTTTGGAACACAATTACTTTTCTTATAACAATAGGTCGTTTCCTTTGTTTAGTCTATTACAGTCTTTTATGTGGATTTACTAGAAATTAATATGCTGAAGTTCTCCATTCTCCTCCAGTTCCTCTGCCATCAGCTCATGAGAAACACAAAATAAGTTCTGGGTAGCTAAACTCGTTTCAGGATAGTCTGGAAATCTTTTACTACTTTGAGTTCTACAAAGTGAATCAAAGCAACAAAGTTCAAATAGGGGCAGATTTTCCCAAATATAAAAGTTTTGTATTTCCCAAATATGAAAGTTACATATCACTGAACAAAAGAGAATTGAAACTGTGTCTGAACACCTTTGGTACATTGGCAGGCTCAAGTTTATCTAGAGCACCTTTTGCACTTAAAATCTTCGGACAGCATTCCACAAACTTGTTTTTGAGTATGCAATCCTGTCCTCTCTATTATACTTCAGACATGCTACTGCCAGTCCACTAATAACTGTGTGAGCCCATACTGGGCTCAGGACTCATCCTTGCCAAGCTAGCAGTGAAACTACCCATGGCTTGTGTTTTGCTACGGCTCTTCAAGGAGTTATTCAGATCACCTTAGAGAACTCTTAAATAAAACATATTTTTCTATTTTGCATGGGAATTCCGTGGAGGCTGGTGTTCAGTGTTCACCAAGTGTTATATCAGTTACTGCTTCTGCATGTAAAGCTGTAAAGAGCATGTCTGTATGTAAGCACCTGCCCAACCAGCTTTTGCACAAACAGAGATGTAGGATACAACATAGGCCATACAGACTTTGAAGAAACTGGCCTCGAGTGGGGGTGACTGTAAGAAAGGTAAACATAACTTCTAATCGTCATAGGAACAGATATTTAATGAATGAATGTTTTGGAAGCCTAAAGATAGTACCAATGCACACTAAAAGACATTTTATGAGACTCAGATTTCAGTTGGCAACATCTTGCAAATATTTACTGGCCCAACAAGTAGCTGAGTTGTTCCAGAAAGGCAACACAGGTCTCTATAGTACAGAATCAGCATTCAGGAAAAGGGATTTCTTTGTTCACATGCTTCCACTGGATCTACAGATGTACATACTTTTCATACTAGACAGCTGCTGGCAACTCTACACCTCATTTTTCTGAATCATGAATTTTATGGAATCTTTCTGCTTTCTCCACAAAAAAATATGCAAAGAGAAGTAGATGATTTTTACCTTTTGTCAGGCCAAAAGTATGGTGTTTTCTTTCTTTCTGCAGGTATGCCCTCAGCTTTTAAAGGACAAGCAAAGGATTTCTTAGGATGAGGAAGAAAAAGGTCCAAATTAAAATAAGGACTCATCAATCTGCATTATAGGCCTGCAAGTTCTTGTCCCCTTTCATTTTCCTTCACATATACACTGACTAGATTTGTACTTGTACAAAAGCTTCCAGTTGAAGGCATCAGCAGCTCCAGAAGCAGAACCAAAAGGAGGACTACTTCAAAGTCTAACACACTGGGTGCCAATGTCCCAACAAGAAGACTTACCAAAATGTAACTGGCATGAGACACACCAGTTTCTTTCACTGGGGACTGACACAATGCCTTCCCCATGATTGAATCCCCTATCTGCTTTCATGGGAGGCTGCATACAACAATAGGCTGGGACAGCACGCTGACCCACCTCTCCCAAAGAGAACTAAAACACTTCCCAGCTCGGTTTGAACTTCCCTGCCTAACCCATGTGCATTCAAAGCTGTTCTCCCAGACCTCTCATCCAAAGTCCTACAGCACATAAACCTTCAAGACAGTAAGGGCAAAGAGAAAAATGCCCAAGGAGTGTGAAGTATCGATGAATGCACTGAACATGGGAGAAGCAGACTGTATCAGGGAGAGGAACAGAATGTGTCAAGTAGAAAAGCCCCAGAAAAGGTTGGGTGTGGAAAACTGGAATCACAAGAACCAAACCATGCAGCCAAACCCTAAAGGGGTTTTATTTCCACCAGGGAGGTGGAAATAAAAGCAAATTGAACTACACAGAAGTGAGAATGTGATACAGTAATTAATGAGAAAAACAGCTCCTAACAGAATTAGGTAAAAAACAACAAAACACAATTTGCTATGACGGTGAAGAGAGAAAATATGAAAAAATATCTTTTTCTAGTGCTTCAAAACTGCTTCGTTTTTCTCTATTTCAACACACTTACAAAAGATTTCCACAATCTACTGCATCTGCAAGCAATTCCAGCTCTCTAACATGTGACATCCGTTTTAGTCATTGTTAGGGAAAATGGGATAGGCCACTTTCTTCACTACCCCAGCACTTTTCCATAGTATTCAGGAAAGGAACACACACTCTGTAAGGTTCTTTCAAATACAAATGCATGCTGTCCGCTGGTAATGACAATGTGTTCATTCTCTTATTTATGAAAGTAAGTATTGAGAAACATAACATCTTTTTTCTATATAGCAGCAGCAACCTCATGTCTCTGTAAGATACAACAGATGCTGCACCACACACCGAAATTATTCAGACCAAAAAATGGACAAGGAAAATTCAGTTAATGATAATGGCATTTCCAGCCTTGGTATGGCTTACAGCACCATATCATCTTCGAGGCCTCCCTACCAAAATTCTTCTGTAGTCAGAGAGGTAAGAAGTTCCAAAGATGGCGCCATGACCACAACCCAGATGGCAGAGCACACCGTGTGTGATGCTGCTCACTGAGCATTTTTTGCTCTGTAGTTACATGAGACATACACAGACTTACACAATCTTAAAAGAGAATTGGTGGCAGAGGGGTGGCTGCCACTTGGGAATTCAAGCTCAAGTTGCACTCTGGATCATTTCCTACATAGCTTTAGGTGCTGATCTGAATTCTGCAGCATGAAGTCACAAAGTACTTTCAGACTGGAAAGCCAAATGTAAAAGAAAGCTTTCAGTCCTTGCACTTGACACTAGTGATGGGGCTGATCCTGCCAGGAACACAGGTGAATTTGAACAGCATGCCAGCTGTAAAGAGCATGACTTCAATCTTGATTTTGTATCCATGCTGCAGCAAAGCTGCAGCAGAACACCCACCAATATAGATAAAATCTTGGCAGTTTATGTATATGAGTTCATTAAAATAGATTTAATCCAGGAAACTTGCTTTCTATTTACAAGGTTTTTTTACTGAGCAGGCTAAGAACATAGCATGTACAAAACCCTTGGGAATATGACAGGGCACTGGCTTCATTTAAGCAAACTGCAGGAGCACATTTCTAAAACACACAAGCCAAGCAAGGGTATGGTAGGCTGCCATTCCCTCAGACATTACAACAAAGTTTATTTATGCAGAATCAAAGGAAACATCAGTGGAGAGTACAGCAATGAAAATGATGACTGAGCTTGACTTCTGACCTCTCTGGTTTTTCAGTCTCTGACCTTTCTACTTAACCAGACTTCAAACTCAGCCTATGGTCTTCATCCTGCAAAATTCTGAGAGCACTCAACATTCTGAGGTGCTGTTGGGATGTGCTGAACAGATTATATGATGAAATACAGATTTAGGTAACATCTGCGATAGAAACATGTCCAAATTGTTAGTCCTTAGCTACTACAAAGGAGGAGCTGTTATTACTGATATCCCCTTTTTATGTCAAGCTGATGGTGTCCTGTTTCTCAAGCCTATTAACAGTCTGCTGTCATATGAGAACCTCTGGGACTTTAAGCATTTATTATGGTGCTGAAACAACTTGTCTGTACATTTAAAACAGTGTGAATACCCTAATCAAAAAAAAAAAAGAATGAATCATGCTTGCAAAGTTGGAACAAAAAGTAGCAAACACTGCTTTAGCCAGTAGTGCTAAGTATGAAATCACAGTGAATGTGTAACTTCTATCATACCTGCAGGAACAGGTATTTCCTAAAAGTATTTTCCAGTAAGTGGAAAATGTGCCTGTCACACAGTCTTTTTGAGCACATTGAAATCCTACATACTATATAAACATTAAAAGCAGCATTGTATTTGATGGAAAGATAAAGGTATTGGGTGTACACAAACAATATGCAGTAAGGAAAGTAAAACACATGAACAGGAGACAAACTGCATCAGATGAACTACCTTGCAAACACAGTCTTACCATATTGCTTACATACATACCATGTGTGAAATAAATTAGAAATGGTCACTGGGTATCTTTTTGCCCACATCAGGGCAATGACTTTCAGTGAAGTCCACAAAAACTATGTGGCTAATGATCAGCACTTCAAACACTTTGGTTCACATGTGATCACATTCTATTCCTCAGGCCAACAAGCAGTTAACTCACCACTTCACTTCATTGGGACTACACATGGAAATGAAAATTGAACAGGGCAAGTAAGAGTTCAGTATTTAGGTTTTGCTTGCTGAAGTTAATGCAGCTTGAAAAACATAAGGACAGAACATTTTAGTAAGCAGTAACAGATAAAAAAATTTATTTAGTTAACTAAACCATTACAATTTGTTTAAGAAAATCAGAGCACTGATTTACAGTTTGTTTTACTCTGAAATAAACAGTTCACTTACCATATATTCCATGTTGGAAGCAGGTGGGAAGACTTTGCCTCTGACTTGATTATGATAATCAAGAATGGCAATCATGTCATTCTGTGAAATGTAGCGCTTCCGCCTGGCTTTGGGAATTTTTGCAGAGTCCAGATGAGCTGCCAAAGCCGTCTTGATGTCAGTGAAATTATTGTCTGACAGGAATAGGTCAGTGGAGTTGGGTAACACTAATGCACTTGTTTCACAGAGAATGGAAAATAAGAGAGTACAACTGATTGCAGCAATTACTGTCATTTTGGGGCCAAAGGACACAGATAGGCCACAGAGGTACTCTGCTTTAAGTCAGGGCAGCAGAAAGCAAATCTGTAGAAGAGAAGATACCAAAGATGTGATTCTGTACATCTGGGTAGCAAGACAAAGTGAACTAGCAGGCTGCGACCAGAAAAATCATTTTGTCTGTCAGCTCAGTCATAAAAACAATCCGGGCAGAACACGTGTTGCTGAGCAATTTTCAATAACTGTATTAAGTGATGATGGTCTTACTTTCTACAACACACCAAACTGTAGTATCATTATACCACTGACAACTGATGGTCAGAGCTAGTAGTATTCCTGTAACAGTGGCAGTGCTATCACACCCGATCAGTCCATAAACCACACTATAAATCTTAAATGGGGAGACTGCAAGAAACCTCACATCATGTTTTCCACTGAAAATTAAAAATACATCCTAGGTTATGCCTATCCCATAGGCATGGGCTGTTTTGACACAATGTGGCAGAGATAAATCAGTAGGCAAAATAAAACATAGACAGCATGAAAGCAGGACATCTTAGAAATAGCATTCAAATCTTAAGTTCACCAAATGTGATGAGCATTGATAAAACTGCATGCAAAGAAACTTACGGAACTGAATGGCTTACCTCAGGATATTATCAAGAAAAAAAGAACACAGTCTATTGTTCTCCCCGTATATATAGCACTCTCCTATGTGATGATATGAACCTTTGTGAAGAAAGTGTCTCTTATTACAACCCCCCAAAGAAGAAAACCGTGCTGGTTGTGAAGCTTGTGGCCAGAGGAGCCGCTGACAGCCTTTATATGTTGGAGCCGGTGTGAGGCAGCGCGGGCCGTGAGGCGGCGGGNTCCATCGCCGGCACGGCAGCTGCCCGAGGGCTGCTCCGCCCTCCGCTCGCCCCCTTCTCCTCCGGCCTCGGCACAGGCACAGCTCCGGGCGGTCGCGGCTGTCCCACAGCAGTTACCTGAACGTCTGCCAGTGAGGAGCCCCGGGAGCGGCAGGACCGAGAGATCCCGCCCGTGCCAGGGAGACATCTGTTCCCCATTAGCTAGCCTATAGCTGGAATTATTTAAACACAGAGTGGTCCAGCCACTCAGACAGCAGAGCTAAGGGCATAACACTGAGGCCATGACGAAAGCGAGCAGAGAAGCAGCAGCAGCCAGCAATTGTGTACTGGGGACGGCGTATGGGAGCTACACAATGTCAGGCTGACCCCCCACCAGGGCTGGGCGACCTGGGGCAGCCTGCGAAATGAGACCCTTAAAAGTGTAATTGTAGTATTTTGTGACATCATAAAGGAGCTCGGAGGGAGAAACACGACAGGTTTGCTATTACACCAAAATTTACGAGTGCTCAAAAGTTTCAGTAGCTCTGTTAGAGAAGTAATATGGGATTTAAGTATTAAGGAAGTGCAGTGCAGTAGTTGGAGCTCAGGGCTGGAAGCCAACACTCACGCTCTCCTTTTGGCTCTGCTGCTCACTTGCTGTGTGGCCTAACCCAAACCATTTAATCTCGGTGTGCAATCTCTACAGCGGGATAATAGTCTTCTACAGACATGTCGTAAGGATCAAATGACTAGCGTTTGATAGTGTACTTTGTGATGAAAGGTGTTAAGTATAAAGTGTCGTAATGAGTTACATTACTATATGAATACCCAGCCTGTCCAAAACTGCTACTTAAGCTGCAGGTATTCCTTTGCATGATTATACAAGAAACTTGAAGACATAATTTGTCCTTGCAAGACTAGATGTTGGATGATTAGTTTCATTCCATCTGCTTTCTTCTGAAATGAATCTCGTATTTGTTCATGTTAATGTCAGGAACTGTCTTCCCATTGTATGAGTACAATAAGAATTCTCAGCTTCTTTGAATTGCCGCAGGTCCTTTGATTTCATCTAAGCTGCAATAAGTTACCAAAAGGAAGACACCAGCTTAACATGTCAGGAAGTTCAGAGCGTAAATTTTACTACTTAGTCACATTTTAGAGTGCTATAATTATTTCTTTGTACCTCATGGCAGTACTTGAAGGCTCTTATGATACAGGGCACTATAAAGAGGAGCAAGGATATACAAAGAAAATGTGAAATAGCCATAGCTTTTACATCTATAAAAGTACAGTCAGAGCTGTAAATCTGAGCTGTACTTCCCTGAAAAACAGACCACATTATGAGAAAATTCTTTTATTTCCCTTACCATCTAGTTCTTTGTTTCTATGTCAACTGGCAGACAGTGCAACTACCTAAAAGTAAAAAAAAAAAAAAAAAAAAAAAAAAAAAAAAAAAAAAAAAAAAAAAAAGTCATGAGCAACACTAATAATCATTATTGCAAAAAGTGTATTATGTATGTGAAAGGCCTTAGAGCATGAGAGTATCTCAAGCCAAGTGTGTTGTACTGGTCAGCTGTCAAGAAGCTGCAAATAGTGAAATATGATAGTAACTCTCAGGCTTGATAAGTAAGATAGTGAAGACAATCACACGCACATGTGTGTTCAGTTTTCTTCTGAAGGAGTCAATCACCAGATACACGATGAAATTTAACAAGCAAGGCCAATGAAGCCACACTAAAGTTCTCATGGTCTGTGCCAAGGAGAGGAATGTCTAAAATGAAGAGGAATGAAGAAAAAACACATCAAAGATGCCTCAAGGAGAAAAATAAGAAGTGGATGGTACCATCTGCAACATACTCAAAAAAGAACTGTTTCCCGACTCTTCAGCCATCTCTGAAAAAACAAAGCAAACAATCAGACCTGTGATAAAAGACCATTACAGGACAGAGACAGAGCATTAGTGAAACTTTGAATAAGTCAAAATATCTGTAAACCTAATTAGGAACAGAATGTGCCAGCCGAGATGGCCACAACATGGTTACTGAGCAGCCTGGAAAAAAAATAAAGGACAATAATTCTTCTACTTAATGTCGGCAAATGTTACCAGTGAGAAAAGTTATATAATCAAGAGTGAGAAAGAATGTAGAAAAAAACTAAGAAAAATAACTCAGTTTATCTTCTGAAAGACTCAGTTCTAGGAAATGGACTAGATTTCAAGGTTTCTCTATAAAATATCTACATTTTACAGAACCAATGTTCATGCATAGGAAACAAAAGGAGAAATAGCAATATAACATTCTACCATAAGATCTAGATTTCATCTGGGCCATAGGCTGTACAAAGTCATGGGTCAAAAAGAACAGGATATGAGTTTATTAAATGTAGCATCTTTACCTTCACTGTACAATAATAGTGATGACTCACAATAGTCATTCTGCAGTGTACTCCTTTCATTAAGACTATAAATTCTGAATTTCTGAGTAATAGGTGATTACCCCTTGCTGAACAATGTGGGATAAACTTCATCATGTTGAGTGACATTTATTTTAGTAAATTAATTAAGAATTTATAAAAGCTGAATCGTTGTAATTTAAAAATAGCATATTTACAGCAAAATAATTTTATGCTGATTGTTAATAGTAGGCAGTTAAGCTTGAAATATTTATTATAATTTATTTTACTTCTGAATAACTTGACCATACCTGCCTGGGATTTGACGTACTTTTGATATTATATCTGTAGTGGCGGACAATAATTCATATAGTTGGAGGCTAAAATGAGAAGTTTTTTTTCCCCCCTGTCCTGTATCTCCAAGCAAAGTTCAAAAAAACCTCACACATTCATATTTTTCAGATCATATCAGACACATATCCTGGAAGATTGCTTGAATAACTCTAGACATCATTGAATATATTGATTATATCTTTGTTAATTACACTGGAGTTGTAAGCACTCAGTTTATATAGAGACAGAACTTATGGTGTCTTCATCTTGAACTGAATCCTATCCAATATTTCAAATTGTATCAAAGATAAAAGCTTCAAACAAAGAAGACAGAATAAGTATGATATGGACAGTCATATTCTCAGCAGTATACATTTTTTCCAAGCAAGCTTAAAATACAATTTTCACCAAACACAAACATTGATATCCTTAATGGCATGGGATTGGGTGGCAACAATAACAAAACTGGCATATTGAAGACTCATAAAACAATTTCACAGAATTGTTAGGGTTGGAAGGGACCTCTGGAGATCGTCTAGTCCAACCCTCCTGACAAGGAAGGGTCACCTAGAGCAGGTGACACAGGAACAGTTCAGATGGGCTTTGAGTGTCTCCAGGGAGGGAGACTCCACCCCGTACAGAGCAGCCTGTTCCAGTGCCTAGGCACCCTCAATGTAAAATTCTTCCTCATGTTGAGGTCGAACTTCTTGTGCTTTAGTTTATAGCCATTACTTGTTGTCCTGTCACTAGGCACCACTGAAAAGAGTCTGACACCATCCTCTTGACACCCACCTTTGTGATATTCGTATGCATTAATGGGGGTCCCCTCTCAACCTTTGTTTCTGGACTAAACAGGCCCAGCTTCCACAGTCTGTCCTCATAAGAAAGATCTCCCAGTTTGCTCAGGTTTGTCTGTTGTTACTGGAAATATATCAACAGCCTAGAAAAGAATTAGTAGAAAATGAGGAACAATTATTTATAATGAAAGGAAATTCTAATTAAATGTATCAAGAACTCTGCTCTGCCAAGAAATTCCTGCTGAGTGGATGCTGAAGAGCTGTTGCCAGTCATAATATAACATTTCTTAGAAATGAGGTAATTAGCACACTTTGAGGCACTGATAAAATCAGTATTCTTCGCACTGACACATCATCAGAAACCACTGGTCACAGAGAAGAGAAGCAGAAGGGTTAAGAATTTACTAGGCTAAGTGTACTTGTCATTTCAAGCATACATTTTCCAGAGTTTCCTTTGGTTATTGTGTCACATTTCACTACTCTGGGCATTGCTTAAGAATCTTATCATAACCAGCATAATGAAAACAGATGAATGCATCAGTACTTAATTTCTTTGGATAGATAAATTATAAAACAAAATATCCTTAAGCACCAGAGTAGGGTCTTCAGTGCTTGTCTTGTGTGATCATCATAACCAAACATAAGCCTTTTTTTTTGTTCTCTCATAGCTCCTTGATGATATAGTGTCTTTATATGGTGTTTTAAGCATCTCTGTAATTGAAAATGGAGTTCAAAAGTCCAGTTTATACCAATACTAAAAAAAGCAACATTTCTCACTCCAAGTGCAGAAGTTCATGTTTCATTTCTGCTGGATTGAAGCATCTTTTTTAGAACTTTGAAGAGTACTGAAATGAAAAAGAATAATATTTTAGTGGGTGTTCAACATTTGTCATCTGCCAATCAGATTCTTACTCTAGCATTATGTCACTTTCAACACTTCTAATATTTCTTTTTCTATATAAAGCAAAGATACGTAGCAACTTGGCACTCATTTTGGAGAATGGGTGTGTATATTCTGCAGTATTTCTCCTGACCTTTAGAGTATTCATTTTAGGAGTATAGGATCATAGAATCATTTTAGGCTGGAAAAGACCGCTAAGATCATCAAACCCAACTGTTAAACCAGCACTGGCAAGTCCACCACTAAACCAGGCCTGCAAGTGCCACATCTACACATCTTTTAAATATTTCCAGGGATGGTGATTCCACCACTTCCCTGAGCAGTCTGTTCTAAAGCTTGACAACCTTTCCAGTGTAAACAATTTTCCTAATATGCAGTCTAACTTGGATATTAGACAGTTATCAATAAAGGTATTAGACAGAACTGACCCCAGCACTGAGCCGTGAGAGCATGAGTTGTGACCAGACACCGACTGGCTATAATTTCATTCACCAGTACTCTAGGCCCAGCCATCCAGCCAGTTTTTTCACCCATCCAAGCCATGAGCCGCCAGTTTCTTCAGGAGAATGCTGTGGGAAATGGTGT